GCGGGACAGCGGCCCAGCCTCCAGCGGCGCAACTTTGTGGCTCCTGACGGCTCCGGAGCGCGAGTTGTGAGGCGTGGCCGGGCGGAGGAGGCGCTCTGGGGGGCGTGGGGCTCCCCGGCAGGCGGGAGGAACGGAGCGAGCCGCGCTGGACAATGAGCCAGGCGGCTCGACGCTGCAGCCACTTTTAGCTGAGGGGGGTGCGGGCTCTGCGGCCCCACCTGCACGGAGAGGGCGGGATGCCAGGGCCAGGTGTCCCGACGCTTTAGGGCCCTTCACAGCCGGGCGTCCTCGACCTGCTCTCCCTTTGACACTGGGCTGCCTGGAGGCTTTGACAGGAGCGTGGTTTGTGGGGAGCCCCTGAGCAGTCGCGATGGCCAGCACCAGGAGTATTGAGCTGGAGCACTTTGAGGAGCGGGACAAAAGGCCGCGGCCTGGGTCGCGGAGAGGGGCGCCCAGTTCCTCCGGGGGCAGCAGCAGCTCGGGCCCCAAGGGGAACGGGCTCATCCCCAGCCCGGCGCACAGTGCCCACTGCAGCTTCTACCGCACGCGGACCCTGCAGGCCCTCAGCTCGGAGAAGAAGGCCAAGAAGGCACGTTTCTACAGGAATGGGGACCGCTACTTCAAGGGCCTGGTGTTTGCCATCTCCAGCGACCGTTTCCGGTCCTTTGATGCGCTCCTCATGGAGCTTACCCGCTCCCTGTCTGACAACGTGAACCTGCCCCAGGGCGTCCGCACCGTGTACACCATTGACGGCAGCCGCAAGATCACCAGCCTGGACGAGCTTCTGGAAGGTAGGAGGGGGCGCGCGGCGCGGCAGGTGCGGCCGAGCGCGCAGGCAGGTGCAGGGGCCGTAGGCCTGGGAGCGCCCGCTCGCTGGGAGGCGGGAGGCAGTGGATGGGAGGCGGTCTCTGCAGCAGCTCGGCTCTAGCTGTTTCTCAGAAGGCTGTGTGAATGTGAGAAGAACACCTACATAAACTCCTTTCCTCCCCTCCCGCGCAAGAGTTCTCTTTGGATAAAAAAGGAACGAGAGAAAAGTAAAAACAGTCAGATAAATGTTTAAGGCATCTCTTAAGATTCGTGAACTTAATTTTGCTGAAGTGCAAACCAGTTTTTGGAAGCCCTGAACTATTAAGTTCTAACTGTAAAGCCCACTGCGTGGACCGGGAGCAGACACCTGTCGATGCTGCGGAACGGTGTTATACCTTCTCTATTATAAAGCTGTGATGGGGAAGCTCACTTGTCTTCACTTGGTGTGCTGCAAAAGTCACATGGGTTCACGAAAGGTGATCGTGAAGCACTCCCAATCTTGGCTGTATCTTGAGTCACTGGGGACTTTCCCTGAGTCCCCTCAGCATCGAGTAGATTCTGATTCCTAGTTACTTTAACAGGCTGCAGCAGCCCCATAAGGTTTCCATGGCTGTAAATCGTTATGAGAGTAGAATGGCTCATCGTGCTGCCGCAGAGCACCTGGTCAGTTGGAACCATCAGGCTTGAGGTTAGCAATCAAGTGTTTAACTATGAAGATCCACCTAGGTCCCACTCTCAGATGTTCTGATGTCATTTGTTTGGGGTGTAGCTTGGGAACTGGAGTTTTCAAAAGCTCCCCAGCTGACTTTAATGTTCATCCAAGGTGGAGAACCACTGGGCTCCAAAATGATCCCTGTTTTGTTGGTAATGAAGCAGATAGCAGGCAGTCACTCTTCCTCTCTTTCCCTGTAACTAGTTGGGACTGATTGTACAGATGACAGGAATCAATAGTTGGAGTCCACCCCAGATGAGATGGATTGATACAGTAACTGGGGCAATGAGGGTCATGGTGTCAGCATCAGTGAGACTGGCTCAGGACAGGGCAGGGTTCAGAGCTGCTGTACACAGGTGGCTCGACAGCACATAACAACAACAATTATTAGTAATCTTGGTATGTGAACCTTGCTTCTGTCAATCCTTCTAGTAGCTATATCATTAGAGATAAAAAGCATTCTTAGTAGTTAGGAACATGTCGTTTCCCCCCCCCCCCAGGCCTACAGAGCACCCAGGAAAGTCACACTGAACCAAATTATATGCTGACTGCACATTTACTTACAGCAAATTTGTGTGTACCCTTTTAAATGGGAAATAATACAAAATGCCATATTCCAGTGCAATTGAAAAAGCAATTGAAAAAGTGCTTTACTTAAATGCCTCACTTTAATATCCACAAAAACTTTTAAGACATTGCCTTCTTTTTATAGATGAGGAAATCTAAGCAAAGTGCCTCACCACACACTTTTCAGGGAGTCAGGATTCATAACATATGGCTTTAAAGCACATACTCTTTTATCTAGAACAAAACAAACTAGTAGGTTATTATAGCCACTGTGGCTTAAGAGTCTTGTAGCAGTTGGATTTATTGATTACTTTCATTGAGAAGTTTACCCTTTTCCACCGAGGTGAAAGAGAAAAGCACAAATTCATTGCTGTTGATTCCAACTCATGACATTCTTCTATCGGGTTTCCAAAGTTGGCTTAGTAGAAGACTTCTTTTATTCCTTCAGAGTGGCTGGTGGATTTGAATCACTGACCTTTTGGTTAGCAGCCCAACACATAACATACTGTACCACCTGGACGACTTCATCTAAGTCAAAGCCCCTGTCAAAAAATGAAATTGTGTGTTCCATATGCTTGTAATTTGACTATTGTATGTCACAGTTTTAAAGACTTCTTTCAGAACTATATTTTAGAGAAGAATTAAAATGTTGATACACTGTTAAAAGTACATCACCACTTTTTTAGTAAGTACTTAGAAGCAACATTTAGTAACTCTTTCAAAACTAAGTATTACAAGCAACATTTAAGTAAGCTTCCAAAACTAAATCCATTTTCTGACAGATTGTAGTACAAATTAGCTCTGAGGAAAGAGCAAGGTAGAGTCTATTGCTTTGTTATTGTTTTTGTTAGATGTCCACAAATCTGTTTCATAATAACCCTGTGCACAACTATCAAAATACTACCTGGTCCCATACGATCTTCACAATCGCTGCTATCCTTGGGTCCATTGTTGAAGCCACTGTCATTCCATTTTGTTGAGGGTCAACTTTTTTTTTTGGTGGTGTTGACCTTCTACTTTAACAAACATTATGTCTTAAACAGTGGTTACTTCTATGCCCTGGGATCTTGCTCCTGGTATAATATCAGAAAATACAACTATTTTAATATTATTATTTAAGCCAATATTAACAATATATTTGTTACACAAATGGATGTTCTCCAGAGATGAATACCAGCACAGAAAAGGCCATGCTTCCCATTTTAACCATGGATTATTAAGTATACATATTGCACATTGAGCCCACCACAGCCCAGGAGGTGTTTGTTCTCTGGTATAATTGTCACCGTATAGTTTGAACTTCAGATTTAAAATTAATAACATTTATTTTACTCATTAATTTTTGGTGTATGGGGCTTGAGGGAAAATATTTGTTATATGTAGAATCCAAATTGTATCACAAGATATTAAATAATGATAAAATTATAGCAAATATTTGCAGAACAAAACTGTACGGTCTAAGCAAGTCCCCACTTGTTTCGCACAAGAGTCATTGTTATAAATTACTGCAAAAGAAGGAAATTTGGCCAGTCACTTATTTATCACAGCAACATTCTGACAGTGGGACTTTGTATAAGTCTTGAATCCCCCATAAAATGAGTGGAATACTCTGTAGAAAAGTATTTTTTTAAGAAAAGTAATAGCCACCAATGTCTAAGATCAATCATTCCAGAACTTAATATGCTTTGAACTTTTATTTAAAATTGATTCCTGAATATTCAAATTTGTCATGCAAAAAGAATAGTCAGCTATCTGTACTGTTTTTCTATGCATCAGTAATAGTTCTCCACAATTGCCCATGTTGCCAATATTGACTTCTTTATTTAATTTTATGGTGCATCATGTTTAATAAAGATTTTCTTAGATAATGTTTATAAAATGTATGATTTTTCTACCATTATATATAGCTGTTTTCTCCTTTGTTGGTTTTTATTTTTCCATCCTAAAAGATTTATAGTTGGGGAACTATATTGTGGTCCCCCCACACACAATGTCTTCAGTGAAGAAGAGAAAGTAATGACTCAAGATAGAAGGTACAACATTCTTTCAGAGCTCCAATTTCATAGAACTCAGATGACAAAAGAAATTAGCATGACCTAGATTTCTTTCCCCCTTCTGCTCTTGACCTTGAGTGTCTCTGGAGACTAGAAACAGAGTTCCAGGGTTAGCTGGTACCCTTTTGACATTCTACTAAGTCCTAAGCACTTTTAGCCCATTTGTTTAAATCCCTTTTGTTGAATTAACTATGCTGTGCCAATGTTGTCATCTTATTTAGTCTTTAAAACTAGGCATGACTCTCATTCTGGAGAATTGTGACTCACTAGCCAGTTTTGGGGAAATCAGGTTGGGCTTTCTGAAGCTATGAGCCTGCCAAGCTCAGAACATCTCGGATAGTCAGCAGAGGACGTGAAAGTGACTCATTCTCCGGTTCTACAATTAGGGGCTGTCTTTGTTGTCTAGTGCTACTATAAGAGAAGTACCAGGAGTGGGCGGCTTTAACGAGTTTTCTCACAGTTTATGAGGCTAGAAGTGCACATTCAGGGTGCTGGTCATAGGAAGCTTCTCTCTCTTTTGGCACTGGAGGAAAGGGCTCCTTTCTTCATCCTTTCTTCCTGGTTCCTTAGCGATCTCTGATTTTGGCTTCAGTCTTACCATGCATCTGGAAGCAAAGGGACTCTGAGTCCATAGGCTTCTCTTACTGTTCTTTCTTGGTAGTAGTGAGGTTTTCCTCTTCTCTTCTCACTATGCTCTCATTTTAGCTCTTGTAAGATTCAAGGATGACATAAGAACTGATGCCTTTGAGTTGTTGTTGAAGAGCACTGAACATTCCATGGACTGCCTAAAGAGCAACAAATACGTCTTGTAGAAAGTGCAGCCAGAGTGCTCCTTGGAGGCAAAGATTAAGCTTCATATTACATACTTTGGGCATGTCTCTAGGAGAGGCTATTCATTGGAAAGGACATGATGCATGGAAAGGCAGAGGGACAGTGAAGGAGAGGAAGGTGCTTACCAGGTGAATTGACACAGTGACTTCTGCAATGGGCTCTAATGTGTCAGGAAGTGTTAGGATGGCCCAGGATAGGACAGGGTTCAGATCTGTTGTTTATAGGGTTACTATGGATCATACTCAACAATACCTAACAAGATAAAAGATGTGTCTCAAGCAAAGATATCATTTGAGGTTATCTTGTAAGGTTATAACTTAAGACACACCTCACACTATTCCTGCATCATTTATATGTTATTATAGTGGTGGTTGGTATACCGTAGAGTTGGAACCAACCCATAGCTGAGCCTCTGTTGGGTTTTCAGAGGCAGTTAATTGCATGGGAAATGATTGTCCGTCCTTCTCCCGTGTAGCAACTGGTAGCCTCAGTGTGCCTTCAGGATTGCAGTGCAGCTTCTTGTCACTTGGCTATCAGAGCTTCCTACACATAAAAACCAAAACCACAACTGACTAAGTCCACAAACCCAGTGGATTCTGACCCATGGTGGCCCTCCATTGAGTTCTTGAGGCTGAAAATTTTTCCTGGAATAGACTAGTCCTCTTTCTTCCATAGAGAGGCTGGTAGGTTCAAACCAACCACCTTTGCATTTACAGCTCAACTTGTACTGCACTCTGTCACCAGATAGCCTTTATTAACATGTAGAGGTTAAGGTTTATAGCTCATGAAATGGAACATGGTAACATCAAGCCAGAAAATG